AATGAATCCTTGCTTCAAATTGCAGAATAATAGGCCTTATCTATGTTAATAGGTTCCAGTAATGTTTCCTATTCTCTCTAACCTACAAGACAAGGGGCAGTGCTGATGTATATCTATTATAGGCTTTGTATTCTTCCTGCTTAATCCTTAAAACAAAAAAGTGACTTCTCCAGCAGGCAATCCAACACTAAGAGGCTGAGCTAGAACGACTTAAGGCCAACCTGGGCTATAGAAGGGGATCCTGACTCAAAAAACTAAACAAGGACTAAAGAACTGGCTTAGCAGTTAGGAGCACTTATTTTGTTGTTGTTTTGTTTGTTTGGGTTTTTAAAAACAGAGTTTTTATGTAACAGCCCTGACTGTCCTGGAACTCACAAAGATCCTCATGCCTCTGCCTCCCCAGTGCTGTGATTAAAGGTCAGTGCCACCACTACAGGCTAAAATCACTTGTTAATCTCGCAGAGGACTCAGGTTTATGAGACCAAAATAGGAAAATAGGAAAAAACAAACCTTACAGGTTAAAAGTTCTGTTTTCAGTTAAGAATAAATTCCTGTTTATCCTATGTTTGTTTGACCTGCCTGTGCTGGATATGCTTGATCACATGTAGGTATGAGGTATATGAGCAGGAAATATTTCAGGATGCAATGCACTCTTGCCTGGCTGGATGTAGGTGGGAGGTACATAGCCAGGAAATACATCAGGATTCATGCTTGCCTCTGGACTTGATGGGAGATAAGGTGTACCTTTTTTAAGCCTCAGAAGGTGTTTCCATTTTCTGGAAACTCAGAGAATCCATCAACCTGGCCAGTATTTAATTAAAGCTTGCTTCAAATTTGTCTTTAAACTGGGGTAGTGGTCTTATTCTGTGAGTTTGAGGCCAGCCTGGTGTATAAAATGAGTTCCAGGACAGCCAGGATTATAACACAGAGAAACCCTGTCTTGAAAAGCAAAAAAAAAAAACCAAACCAAAACAACAACCCCTTAAATGTCTTGGCTAAGAATTTCCAGTCTGTAACAATAACAGCAGAGCTAGGACTGATGGCTGTCTATCTAGCTTTCTTCACATACTACTTGGTGTCTTTCTTTCTGTCAGGTATTTTAAGACAGGGTTTCATGTAACCCTAGATTTCCTTGATCTCCTGATCCTCCCACCTCCACATCCCAAATCTTTTCTCTTCTAAAAATAATCTTTGGGTTTGGAAAGAAGGCTCGACTGTTAAGAGTGTATACTGCTCTTGCAGAAGACCAGAACTTGGTTCCCAGGACCCATATCAGGTTCACAACTACCTGGGCACTCTGCTCTGGCCTCCACTGTCCATCTTCAGTCATGTGCACATACACCCATAAAAAGAAACTTTTAAAAATAACACCTTATAAGACTGGAGAGACAGCTCAGCAGGAGAGAGCATTTGTTGTTCTTGCGGAGGACCTGGGTTTAGTTTCCAGCACCCACATGGTGGATAACACCTGACTGTAACTCCAGTTCCAAGGAATCTAATGCTTTCTTCTGACCTCTGCAGCACTAAACACAAATGTGGTGCACAAACATGCAGGCAAAATACCCATACACATGAAAACAAAATCTATTTTTAAAAACCTGTAATACACAAATGTTGGTAATATTTAATTTTTTAAAAATATTCTAGTAATTAGAAACTGCAGAAAAGCAGAACTTTCTCTTTTCCAGTTCTGAAGGAACAACTGTGTTCTAAATTTATTTTAAGTGTATGGGTATTTTGCCTATATGTATGTATGTGTACATGTATGCATGTGCCCTGTGTGTGTGTGCCTGGTGCCCACAGAGGGCATCAGATTCCCTGGGATTGGAATTATGGATGAATGGTTGTGAGCTACCATGTGAGTGCTGGAAATTGAACTTGGGCCCCATATAAGGACAAGTGCTCTTGACTTCTGATCCATCTCTCTAGCCTAAAAGTACAGTTATTATTGTTTTAAGACAGACTCTCTTTGTATGTCCCAGGCTGGGGAGACTCCTATCTCATCTGTCCGTAATGATACTAGGTTCAGGTAATCATCTACTGTTCTCGACTCTCGGATGGCCTAATCTAGTTTACTATTAATTTGCCTATAGAGAAGGGGTATGTATGTGAGTGAAATCTAGAGTTGAATTCACTTTTACATTTAATGTTTTTATTTTATTGATCATTGTGGGTATGTGTGAGAGAGATGTGTTTGTAGGTATGCATGTGCCACAGCATACATGTGGAGGTCTAGGGACAAATTGAGGAGTCAGCTCTCTCCTTCTACCTTTCTATGAATTTCAAGGATTAAATTCAGGTAGTCAGGCTTACATGGCTGAGCCATGTTGATGGCTCTTTGATGCTTGTTTTTTTGACATTTTCATCAAGCATTAGGTGGCTGTTGCGTGGGTCTTTTATTTTAGTGGTCTATGTGTTGTTTTTGTTTCTATATTTCTATAGTATAACTTGAAGTCAGGTTATGATGTCTACAGTATTATTCTTTCTACTTTGATTACTTTGGCTGCTGTGGGTGTTGTGAGTTCATATGAATTTTGTGGGTTTTTTTTTTTCCTAATTCTGTAAGATATCATTGGAATTGGTTTTTTGTTTTGTTTTGTTTTTTTTTTGAGACAGGGTTTCTCTATGACTTTGGAGGCTGTCCTGGAACTAGCTCTTGTAGACCAGGCTGGTCTCGAACTCACAGAGATCCACCTGCCTATGCCTCCAACACCTGGCAGAAAAGCTTTTAATTTAATTTGTGTGTGTGTGTGTGTGTGTGTGTGTGTGCACGCACGCGCGTGTGCATGTGTGTGTGTGTTTGCATGTAGAGGCCAAATGTGATACCTCAAGCCTTTATCACATTCTGTATTATTCCTTTGAAAGTCTCTCACTGAAGAACCCAGTGATAGTTTGGTGGCCGTCAAGCTTCAATGAACTGTTTCTTCCCTACATAGTGCTTAGAGTTACAGGTATTCTTACAGCCACACCCAGTTTTTGACATGGATGTTGGCATAGGAACTTGGGTCCTTGTACTTGCACAGAAAGCACTCTAACACAGAGCACATGTAATAAAATGTGCTAATATTAGGAAGATCTGCCATGAGCCTGTGACCTAGTATTTTCCAAATGATGAAAAGTTACAAAGTCATAGATGGGAAAGAGAAGGAAAGGCCTCTGGGTTTTCTTATATTAATGTTTCACCTTTAATATATTCGTTATAATCATTTTGCAGTGGTAGGATCAAACTCAGATTCTCACAAATGCTAGCACTCTATCATTCAACTACAACTCTAGCCCAATTGTGGTTTTGTTTATTTATTTTTATTAAATGGCCCTTGAAGGGGAATAGCTATATTACTGGATGGCTGCTTCCATTCCAAAGAGATGGATGATACATAGTAGTGTAAAGGTAATAGACAGGAAACAAGTCAGTTTCCTGCTTGGGTTACCTGCTTGGGCACATTATGGTCTTGGCCAAATCTTGGTCACCCCAGAGGCATAAACTACAAATGACATCCCCAACCCCATCTCTACCCCACTGGTTTGTGTATTGGACCTAGGTCTTGAGCATGCTAGGGAAGCACTCTAAAGATGAAAAGAATATTTTGTGGCACATGAAAATCATGAAATTCAAATTTCTGTTCTGAAAGTAAAACATGACTCATTTCTGTATGCTCTATGGCTGCTTTACACCGTATTGAGTAGTTACAATAGAAACCATATGTGGTACTGTCATCATTTCATGGTACAGCAATAAGGCAAGCATGGAGTGCAACGGAGTGGAATTTTATAAACACCCTCCAAAGGGTCCAACTAGAAGCATTTGCTCCAGACACTCAGGAGGCAGAGGCAGGCAGACCTCTGTGAGTAAAGGCCAGCCAGGGCTATATCATAAAATTAAATAAAAGGAAAGCATTTGTCTTGGGATCATCATCAGCTTTTGGCAGTACTTATCTGCCGACATTCTTAGATCAAATTCATGCAAGATGTCCTGGTGGAAGAGCATTGACACATGAATATTTGCAAAAGATTTTGATGATAGAGAACGAAACTTTGAAACCAATTAAGTGAATTATCTCCTTCGAAAAAAGAGTCCTACTCTCAGTTCAGCATACACCTTTAATCCCAGTGTTCAAGAGGCAGAGGCAGAGGCAGATGAGTTCAAGGCCAGCCTAGGCTACATAGTAAAACCTTGTCTCAAAATAGTTTAAAACAAAATAATAATATATATTACTTAACAATATATAAAATATTTATTAAGTTAATTATAACATATATTTAATAATATTATTAGATAATGTGCGTTTATTATTATTATGTTTCTGGTTTTTTTTCTTTTGAGACAGGGTTTCATTGTGTAGCCATGGATGTCTTGGAACTTGTTCTGTAGACGAGGTTGGCCTCCAACTCCAAAATCCACTTGCTTCATCCTCCTGAATGCTGGGATTAAAGGCATACACCACCTGGCTCAATTATACTTATTTGTGTGTGTATGTGTGCCTACCCTTGCAGGTGCAGGTACATACCAATTGTACAAGTGTGAAATCAGCCCAACTATCTTTGAACTTTCTTTCCTCCTGCCCTCAACCTCTCCAGTGTTGGGATTACAGATAAGAACAACCACATCAAAAAAAAAAAAAAAAAAAAAAAAAATCATTCTATGGCAGCCTTTGTCCAGGATGCTATTCCCCCCAGCCTAAGGGAATCCTTCAGTTAACTGACACCCTGAGGTCTTGTTTGCAATGTGTTTACTATTTTGAACATAATCATATCCAGGGTAAGCAACACCGAGACACACATAGTATGTCATTGTACTTATTCTCCTGGGATTGAATGGAGCAAACCTGGCTCTGAAGAGATACTAAGATACCGATCTTGTTGTGTTAGAGTCTCCCTTACTTATTTATGCCTTACTATATGGGTACAATATCTAAGGGCAAACAAATACGATTAGCTCAAGTTTAGACACATGCTTCTTGGAGTTGGAATGATAGCTCTTAAAAAAAAGACAAAGCAAATATATTCTAAAATAGATTTTTATTATGAAATATAAAATTTTGGAAATATTTTAAAAATTCAGTTATAATGTTAATATTTATAAGCAAAAGCACCACATTAAAAATACATTGATAAAATGATCTAATTACAAATTGGCAAATCATAAAGTCTAAGTATAGAACTACATCAGGTGTCTTTAGAGCTGAGTAGAAAGTATAGAATATTAGTTACACATAAGAAGTCCACTGGCAGAATTGGGAATTCACACCTACTATGTACACCAAATAAAACTGGGCCAAACTGGTTTGTGAGGACTAGTTCCCTGCAACCCTGGTCTGAATGAATCTGTGATATTTTATAGAGCTAATCCACAAAGTGGAAGACTGGAAGGCATAATTTCTTTAAGAATATATTAATTTCTCAAAGGATATAAATAATGTGTGTATGTGTTTGTACCTAAGCTGCTATTTTGCAGAATGGGTTTAATGAAATGTGAAAAAAGGCATTTTTTCTCTCTGAATTAATTGGTTTAGGCATTTTTGTGAATGAAGGATGAAAATGAATTTATTTATTTAAAGCAGGGTTGTCTGGAACATACTATGCAGACCAACTGTCCTGGAACTTGTGACTAATCCTCTGCTTCTGCCTCCCAAGTGCTGGAATCACAGGCACATACTGCCAGTAACACCAAATTCTTTTTTTTCAGATAATGTTTCTCTATGGAGCACTGACTGCCCTGGAACTCGATTGGTAGACCAGGCTGGCCTTGAACTCTGCCTCCCAGTGCTGGGATTAAAGGTGTGAGCCATGATGCCCAACTCTGTAGCCAGTTCTTAAAAGATAAAAATTCTATAATAGTCCAAGAATTAATTAAAATATCAAATTATCATTATTTTACTAGTAGAAAAAGAAAACTACATAACAGATTTTTTAAAAAAATAAGAAATGCAAATGTGAAGAAAAAAGTATTGGTTTTTACTAAAACTATGTTCAAAATCCAATTAAATGTCAGGTTATGTATGACAGAATAGTGGAATCCAATTAATTTTTTGTTTTGTTTTGTTTTTTTGGTTGTTGTTGTTGTTCTTTGGGGTTTTTGTTAATAAAACAGGGTTTCTATGTGTAGCCCTGGCTGTCCTGGAATCCATTCTGTAGACCAGGCTGGCCTCCAACTCAGAGATTCACCTGCCTCTGCCTCCAAAGCACTGACTGACATTAAAGGTGTACACAGGCCCAGGTTTGTTTGTTTGTTTGTTTTTGTTTTTCAAGACAGGATTTCTCTGTATTGCTTTGGAGCCTGTCCTGGAACTCTCTCTGTAGACCAGTCACCTGCTTATGCCTCCTAAGTGTGGGAATTAAAGGTGTGTGCCACCAATGGCTGGCTCAGGTTTTATTCTTAAGGATAATTTTGTACTTGAAGTTAAAAGTTCTAGTCTGAATATACAAAATTATTGTAGCTCTAATAGTTTTACTGTAACGTTATATGAAAGTAGTATCCAAGAAACTACTACTTGACCATCAATGACTTCACAGTAAAGATGTTTAAATACTTGTCAGGAATTTTAGTGACAGATATTAGAATGGCACAACATCTTTAAAAAAGCTGCCAAAGGCATGTTACAATCCACATATCCTCGTTAGACCAGTAAGACCTAGTTTAAATTTAAGGGCAATACAGATTTCAAACATAAACACATTTTAAACATTACCTTTTAAACATTTTAGCTCAGAGAAATTTAGTATCAGCACCAAATATCTATCCATATAATTCCCATTTAAAAAAGTTAGTAGTCTATAAAATCTCAAGTTTTTCTGTACAATGGTTCAGTTTCATATGTGGCTATTAAATTCTCAAATTAAAAAGTCAAAGCTGCTAACTCAGTCTTTAAGCAACTGAAGAGCCAGGTGTGTAAGAAATGCCTGGCAGAATCCACCATCAAGTGCAAAGTTCTTCTATCATATCCATTTTTCAAAACAAACTCTCTTAAGTAGATAAAACATGTTTGACTCCCATCCCCAAACATGTTCAGGTTTTCTTTTTGTTTGCCAGGCCTGAGGAATGGCCTCAGAGCCTTCATAGGCTGGGCAAACATAGCCCCAGCCCTGGCACTTTTTCTGACCTAATTTTGATAAAAATTTAAAGCCTATTCTAGTCTAAAATAATCTTATATTTCAACATTCAGTTTAATTATTAAAAGCACTGCAAAGCAGTAAAATTTTTGTTTTGTACTGATGTGTTATTTTTTAAAGACAGTTTTATCTATCATATAGCTTTGGCAGGCCTGCAATTTGCTATATAGGCCAGACTGGCCTTGAACTCAATAGAGACTTGCCTGCCTCTGTTCCCTACCTGCTGGGATTAAAGGCATGAGCTATCATGCCAAGCATATGTTTTGAGACAGGGTCTCCTGTAGCTCAGGCTGGCCTCAAATTTGCTATGTAAAGGACAATGTCAGGACTCTTGATACTCTTGCCTTTATGTCTCAAGTGCTGGGATTACAAATTTATACTACCATATTGGCATAGCTCAGCAGTAAGGATATTTTCATAATTCAAAACTAACACTGATTTACATATGTTAGGTATGTCTATGGCAGTAAAATTACCTAAAGTTCAAAACTATATTGTTAACCCACTACATAGACAAAAAGGAGGAACACAGGTTTTAAAAATCAAGTTAATAGAAAAAAATGCCATATAATAGTATACTGTACATATGATGTTATTATAATCTCAGTTTCAACAATTCTATTAAAAACCAATAGGGTTTCTGTCTATTCTGAATCAATAAATTATTCAAAATTAAAACTTTTTTATAAATAGTAACAATAGATGTCATATTGGGGATGTAAGATTTTCAAAAGTAACAAATACTTCAAGACTATATGATTCAAGTACTGCTTTTACATTACTGAACTGTATCTATAGTTGGTAACTGACCCATAACACTGGCATACAGACTACATGGCAGCAATCAGGTAAGTAGTACTGTCTGCTTGTTTTTCACATCATCATAGGGAGAATTCTTTTAGTAGGAACCAGGATATTATACGTCGATCCAATTAGTTAGCATACTTATGAAGGAAACGTTCAAAGGCATCATAGATGGCTTGTCTAAAATGAAATGTAAAGAAACAATTAGTCATTAACAAGTATGGAGAAGGACATAACTACTGTATTTCTAAAATTATCTCTGGTTAAAAATATCTGATAAAATATGCTTCTGATATCTCTAGAGGACAAAATATAGGAAAAATCCTTTAATATAAGATTTAAATTTTGTTTTTCGAGACAGGGTTTCTCTGTTTAACAACCCTAGCTGTCCTGGAACTAGCTTTGTAGACCAGGCGGCTTTGAACTTACAGTGATCCAGCTGCCTCTGCTTCCCAAGTGCTGAGATTAAAGGGGAGTGCTACCTGGCTAAAATATTTTTTATATGTTCTAGTCTTCCTACTTCCTTGGGCTCCATACATTCCTTAAGGCAATAAATAAATAAATAAATAAATAAATAAATAAATAAATATTAAAATTCCCCAAACAAGAAACACATAAATACTTATTTGGATCATCTTACCTGAAGAGTCCTTGTTTAAAGAGATAAGCACTTATATGACCCCCTTCTAGGTAGCGGATTTCACAACCAGGCCAAATTTCTTGTAGGCTTCGAACTCCTGTTCGTGGAATATAGGCATCCTCTTTGGCTTGTACCACAATAATGAGGCTTGGGTCAACTGGAACTAAGTGTAGGATTTTGATGCATTAAAAAGTGCTTTAATTTTTGTATAAATCCTAAAATCACATTACCAAACAAAATGTACCATACATGAGTCTGTAATTCTAGCTACTTTGGAGCCTGAGGAAGAGGATTACAAGTTCAAGACCAGTCTGGATAACTTAGATACTGTCCTAGACCCTGGGGTGATGGCTTAGTTAGTAAGGTCCTTGCTGCACTAGCATGAAAACATGAGTTTTCCTAGAACCCATGCTAAAAGCTGGATACAGAGCTTCACTTATAATCTCAGCCCTGGGGAAGTAGATGATGGCCAACCCAGTCAGTCTAGTGGAATTAGTAAGCATCAGGTTTAGCAAGAGAACTTGCCTCAAAAAAATTAGGGTGGAAAGTGATGAGAAAGACATCTGTGTTGACTTCTGTCTTCTACATGTATGTGTACATATAAATGAACATGCATACATGAAAGAGAAAACAATGTACCATAGTACCACAATATTCATATAGTAACATGAAGACTTTTTTTGTTTGTTTGTTCTTTAATAAAGATAGAGTTCTCATGTAGTCCAGGCTGTCCTCAAGCTCACTTTGTAGCCAAGGAGGACTTGAACTGCTGATCTTCTTGCCTATATCAGAGTTCTAATACTAGGATTACAGGCATGCAGCACCATTCCCAGTTTATGAAGTGCTGGGGATTGAGCCCAGACATTGTGCACGCTATACCCGCAGCCCTAAAATGAACATTCTAAGGATATACACAGAAAAACAAAAACAACGGAGCTGGAGAGATGGCTCAAGTGGTTAAGAGCATTGCTATTCCAGAGAACTTGTGTTCTATCCCCAGCTCCCACATGGAGGGTGGCTCACAACCATCTATAACTTCAGTTCCCAGGGATCTGACACCCTCTTCTGGCCTCCAAGGGCACCAGGACTATATGTGGTGTACAGACATGCATGTAGGCAAAACATCCATCCACACATGAAAAGTATATAACAAATATTTACACAGCACAGTTGTTCCCAGTTTCCTTTGAAAATTAGTACCTGAAAAGTTTGCTACATGAGTGCATTCATCCATGACTCCTTTCATGAATATTAGAGATTCTTTTTGAAGATTGCTTCTTTTTTGTTCTCTGCTGAGCAGGTGAAGCGACTGAGGGTTGTAACTTGCAAAATGGCTTTTGTTAGTTGAGAGTGTTTGATTCAGGCATTCCATCTTAGCGGGATCTTGCAACAAGTGTCCTTTTGAAGTAGCACTGATAGATGTTTTACCAGAATCATGGCACTTAGCATTTGGGGACACAACTTGGTCTGTCATATCTAAATTTAATGTTCTGGAAACCAGATTCAGGTTAGTCAGCTTGTCTGTACTGCTAGGGAAGTGCTTCATGAACTCATGTCCCATTTTGAAAGAATCTGTCTGAATATATGATAAAAAAGAAAACACTATATTAGAACTTTATGAAGCATTTTAAAAACAGAAAAGATAAGAAGTATTAGTAGGTACATACATCTATACATACAATGGCATTTTAAAAATGGTAAATTTCACATTGGTAGATTTACCATCTTTCTTATAGGACCAAAGGAAAAACAAATACCAAAATTTGAAGAAGATGAAAGTAAACAGTACATTTATTGTTGAATGTTTGTAATGAAGAGTCAAAGTTGCCAAGTGGCAGTGGTGCACGCTTTTAATCCCAGCACTCAGTAGACAGAGGCAGGTAGATCTCTGAACTTGAGGCTAACCTGGTCTACAGAATGACCTCCAGGACAGCAGCCACGCTACATAGACAAACCCTATCTCAAAATAAGTCAAAGTTACCTGCATCAGATTTTTATGGCCCAAAATTTCAAAATATAGCTATATGGACATAACCTATATATAATGTACATTTAAGCACAAAAAAATAGCTACTTCAAATCCTTTGTTTGGGGATAGACAAACAATTTTAAAAAATATATAAAAATGTTGTGTATGAAAGTTGTAGAAGAATATTAAAATTTTATTAACTTGGCAAAATTGACTTGCAACTTATATGAGAACTGACTAATTATTTTTCATTTTACTTTATTTTTGGAGACAAAACCTCACTATATATCCCTTGCTGGCCTAATGCTTACTATGTAGACCAGGCTAGCTTCAAATAGAAGATCTATCTGCCTCTGCCTCATGAATGCAGGGGTTAAAGATGTACACCACCATGCCTGGCTCAAATTATCTTTATTAAGAGCAAGAATGAAATAAAATTTAAAGGTATTATAGAGCCAGGAGGTGGTGGCACACACCTTTAGTACCAACACTTGGGAGGCAGACCTTTGTAGCTTTAGAGTCCTGGACTCACTCAAGGCTGGCCTTGAACTCACAAAGATCTGCCTGTCTCTGCTTCCTGAGTTCTGGGATTAAAGGTGTGCGCCACCACTGCCTGGCCAAAGGCAACATTTTGACCTTAAAACCCAGCACATATGCCCAAACACCTGCCAAAATGGAAGAAAGGCCTAACGTATCAAAGACCTAGTCCAAACTTCCAGGATCCAGCAAAGTCCTAAATGAACTACTAACCTTGCTTTTTAGCTTCTGTAGTTCTGCTTCTTGCTAATGAAATTTATAACCAGGATGTACTTTTTATGTACAAAAAGACAAAGAAATATGAGGATGGGGCTGCATGATTCCCCATACAGTCACTGGCTGCAGATAAAGACTTTCTTTTCTGAAACTGAGGAAGAGGCAAAGTGGGGAGAAGGTCTGGGAGAAGGGCAGGTAGGGGAAACTACAATCAGGATGCAATATATGAGAGAAGAATAAATAAAAAATAGAGAGAGAGAGAAAGAGAGAGAGAATGTTCATGTGAAGGACTGGAGAGATGGCTCAGGTTAGGGGCACTAGCTGCTTTTCCAGAGGTCCTGAATTCAGTTCTTAGCAATCACATAACCATCTATAATGGGATTTGATATTCTCTTTTGGCATACAGGTGTACATGTAAACAGAACATTCACATATAAAATACAAAAAAGAAGAAAAGGAGAATAAGGAAGAAGGTGTATTTCCTGGTTAGTTTACCTCATAACAGAGAGAGAGAGAGAGAGAGAGAGAGAGAGAGAGAGAGAGAGAGAGAGAGAGAGAAGGAAACAGCAAAAAACCCCAGAAACATTAATATGAGTTGTTTAGTGAGTATGCTGGTTAGTTTTTGTCAGCTTGACACAGACTAGTCACATGGAAAAAAAAAAACAAACAAAAAACTTACCCCACAGTATTCAAGCATATGAATAATTTCTTCTTCATAAACTGTTTGTGTATAATACTGCTTTTCCAGCTCCCGCCAATTAATTGATTTACTCAAGACACCCTAAAATAAAGTAAGATCAAATCATGACATAGCTTGCATAGTACTTTTATTTTTATTAATTACTATATCAGACAGAGTTAATACAATCAAGCTTGAGATTATCTATCCTTTGAAAGGCCTGTTTATATTCTTGAGTGAAGTCTGGGAATTTGATCAAAAAGCAGCTTTTACCCTAATGATACACTTTCCCTAAATGATAAAAGTGGGTCACTGAGGTCACATTGTTTATACAAGTCTGTGCTCTGCTCAATGCTGAAATTCCGTCTCAACTTTTGGTACACTCACAGCTGAGGACTTCTAAGCACTGACTCCAGACTCTTAACTCTGATAGGCTCAGTGATGAGCAGCACTTTACCATTTGTTGCAAGTGACTTCTAGAGAATTAAGCATAAACCATGAGGTTTGGCTGAGCAAGGACCCTTGGAAGGACCAGTTTTGTCGTCTCATGTGCCTTTTCCTTTTATTGATTTTCTGTCATATCCTTTTGATAAAATTAAGTCCTCCCCCTCCCCCCCCCCGTATAAAATGGAGAGAGTGTGTGTTGTTATTCCTTTCAGCAGTCACTGAACCTAAGAATGATTTTTGGGACCACCAAGATAACTTGATAAGTACATATTATCAAGTTTCAACTGCAATCCAATTACCGTAGTGAAGACCCCAGATGCTGTGGACCAAGACAGGCATGGAATCAATGGCATGGGCTTGGGCCAGTTAGATACTGCTAAAGAGGCCATCTGTAATGACAAACGTAAATTTAGAGTTTCTATTTGTTAATGTGAAAGATGTGTAATACTAAAAAGTATTTTATATAGTTGGGAGTAAGAGAAGATATGAACATAGGGGCTGTAATACTTATAGAATGCCCTCAAATTATAAATTCAACAACACGATTACAAGCATGCACTTGGCATACCTGGCTCAGACTAACATTGTGAAATTATGTTTTTATAATTCAAATGATCATTTATACCAAACTTCAAATCCATTTTTTAATATAACACACACACCCCTAATGACAACTACATGTTATGGAATCAACCAGCGCACACTTCAGATGCTAACTGCACTGAGTGCTTCATGGAGAAAACAGTGCATCAAGCAATTGTGGTATAGTACTGTGGAAATGTACTGAGAGTGAAGCACAGTTTGCAGATGAAGCTGGAACTCAAAAATGGGCTTCTGGCGGGAAGGAAGCTGTAAAGCTGTTGTTTGACTAGGTAATGGCACAAGGGGGCACTAGAGAGACATTAGTGCCTGACACAGCTAATGCACTACGAAGCAAGCTAGCACATTTTGAGCAGGAGGAAGCAAAAACCTGACTCAATTCACATTACATCACAGAGGAAAAACGTAAAGAAACCAGGTTGTCTCTGATCAGCATTTTGCTTAGTCCTCACCAGAGAGGCTTCTTCTTGTAGTAGACAAGAACTAACAGAGACCTACAACTGGACAATGAACAAGGAGTAGGAGGCTTTGAGCCAGATAGTGGTGACACATGCCTTTAATCCCAGCATTGGGGGTGGGATGAGGAGCAGAGGCAGGCAGATCTCTGCGTTCTAGGCCAGACTGGTCTACAGAGCAAGTTACAGGACAGCCAGGGCTACACAGAAACCCTGTCTCGAAAAAAAAGACAAAACAAACAAAACAGAGGCTTTGGAGAACTTGGCCTTAAATGAGATAGTTTCATCAACTTTTTCCTCAGAGCTCAGGGCTTATACAGAGCAGAAGGAAGCAAAGAGAGGGTGCAAAGATTGTTAGGAGCCAGAGGTAGTGAATGACTCCAAGGAACCAGTGTCTTCCAGAAACAACAAAATGGATACACATATGAACTCAGAGCCTGGCAGCACATACAGGGCCTGAACAAGTTCAAACCAGGTTGGGTACCAGCCCTGAGAGAGAGAAGTTGACATGGGGGGGGGGTTCCATTCGTAACCTAACCATGAAGCTGTCTACAATTGGTACCCGCTTGAAAGGGTTTAAAAAAAAAAAAAGAGTCTCATCCTGGGTCCCATGCCCAGGAAAAGATAGCCAACACAAAATAAATTCAATGGTATTTTTGTAAACTTTTCATCTCATCTAGCTTTGTTTGGTCCTTCTTTTGTCTTATTGATCTTAAGACAATTGGTCTTTGGTTTCCAGTTACTTTGGGGGTTGAGGGGGTTGTGTGTGTATATGCATTTCTTGGTGTGTGTGTGTATGTTTGCTTGTTTTTTAAAGAGAAAGGTTGTGGATTAGATTAGTAGAGAGGTGGTGAGGATCTGGAAAGAGTTGAGAGAGGTAAAAAGTATTAAAATATATGAAAACAAGTTTTTCAATAATAATGCTAATAGTAATAATAAAGAATGGAAGAAAAGACTGGGCACAGGGAAATTAGAAGTCTGTTCAGTGTAATCTAGAAGAAAAAGTTCGTGGTGCTGAGGATGGAGAAAGTCACAATGAAACTTATTATGTTGGACAATTAATATACACTAAAAAGATTTAAAAAGCACCTTCCAATTCATTTCTCATCTATCTATCCATCCATCCATCCATCCATCCATCCATCCATCCATCCATCCATCTATCGTATACAATATTCTGCCTGCATGTATCCTTGCAAGTCAGAAGAGAAACCAGATCTTATTACAGATGGTTGTGGGCCATCATGTGGTTGCTGGGAATTTAACTCAGAACCTCTGGAAGAGCAGCCAGTGCTCTTAACCCCTGAGCTATCTATCCAGACCCTCATTTCTCTTCTGACTAGTAGCAGAAGTAAGAATACACTTTGAGAATATATATATATATATATATATATATATATTTTTTTTTTTTTTTGATTGATTTTTCAGGATAGGTTTTTCTCTGTGTAGCCCTGGCTGTCCTGGAACTCACCATGGAGACCAGGCTAGCCTTGAAATCACAGAGATCTGCCTGCCTTTGACTCCAAAGGGCTGGGATTAAAGGCGTGCACAATCATTGCCTTGCTTTGTAATCAACTTTTAATAAAATATAAATCCACCTGGAGTTGTACATATATGCTTGTCAACATAAATCACACAAAATAACATTACTTCATTATTAGAACTATTTCTACTTCCTACTTTGACCAATTCATGCCTCAAGTACACTTAAAATTACCCCTATTTACAAACACAATGGTAATGAAATATAAGGAAAAGACTCACATGTCCTCCCATGGATATTCCAGTCATCCCAAGAGGTCCATAACCTTCCCTCTCCAGCCAATGCAAGAGAGCTGCAGACTCCAGAATAAGAGCACCCCCCATCACAAATAGGTCAGACACATTTTTCAAGCTGGATCTTCTAGCCTCACAAAACAAAACAGAAAATGATTTATTTCATGCATTTACATGTTTAATACTTTAAAAAGTTAATAAATAATTGTGTATTGGTGTTTATTGCTGCATGTGCACATGTATACATGCCACAGTGTGTGTAGAGGTCAGAAAACAACATTGTGGATGGAATCAGTTTTCTCCTTTCACCTTTACGTTGGTTCCAGGGATTGTGCAGCAATTGATTTTACCAGTTCAGTCATTTCACTGATCCACAGTTACATTTTAGTGGGTTTTTTGTGTTATTTTTTTCTCCTGAGATAGAAGCTTCCTATGTAGCTCAAGCTACCAGTGAGCTCATTTGTAGCCCATAGAGGCCTCAAATTTGAGATCTTCCTGCCTTTGCCTCCTAAGTGCTGAGATTTCAGATATGTGCTACCATGCCTGATTTCAAAAACATGTCTTAATCAATTATCAATTTACCTTAGAGACTGGGCTGCTGTACCAGATTGACCTTAGTGCCAGGATTACAGTAGTGCCATGAAACCTGGGTAGATTAATTTAAATAAAAACCAACATATCTGGAATTTTCTGTTTTTAATTTTTGACACAGGATCATGTTATACACAGGGTCATTCTGATCTACTAGCCTTTGCTTTATAGTGCTGGCATTACAGGTTGGCCATTGTGCCCTGTATCAGGGGAATTCTTATAAAGAGAAGTCTCCTTTCTGCAACTAGAGACTTAGAAGAAAGATAATAGACGTTAAACTGAGGTAGCTGAGGTTCTGATTTCAAACTGGTCGTCTCTTCACAGAATTAATGTAAGGAGGCACCAACTGAATAATCAATCACTAAGTAAATCTGTGGACATTTTGACTAGAGTTCATTGGAATGTTGAAGCAGGGGTCAGGCTCAGCTTAGGATCCACAATTTAACTGTGTTTCAGAAATGCTAACAACAAACTGTATGCTTGCTTTCTTCCATCACAGTAGATCACATTCCATCTAAAAAGACCCCACCTTGTTTCCCATCTTCAAGCCAGTTTTCTTTTCTTTTCTTTTCTTTTTCTTTCAATCCCTTTAATAAGGTGGTTGGAGGAACCAAGAGAATAACAGGCAGGAGGTGGACAAAGTAGTGCTTCGTAAGCCCTTCTCAGTAATTCACCACTCATCTTATGATAACTGGATCTTGCTGGGATCAAAACAGTTGGATTCCATGATGGGGAGGCCATTGGCTTCTCGATATTTCACAAGTCTCCGGCGGGCCCACTCTTGCATTCTGTAGTCAGGCAGATATGCCACAAAGGTGGTACCCAAGACCAGGACGATGGAAAAACCAAAGAAGAAGACAGCCCGCATATTCCAGACGTACACCACAGGGTCCTGGTCATAACCATGAAAGTCTGGGTTCTTCGCGTAGATGTTTTCGTCCTCGGGTTCTGGGTCCTCCTGCCAGCTCATGGTCGGTTCTTGTTGCCACTTTCTCTCCACAGCAGACAGGGAGATTACAGCCCTGGAGGATTCCCAGCGAATGCGGGCACCTGGGAGTCTTCAAACCCCTGCTGCTGCCGAAAGGCAAAAGGCGGGGAGCATACAAACTTAACAGCCGGGCCGCCATGACAGCTTGTGCTGCTGTGTTGGGGTTGGGGGAGCGGCGCGCCTCAAGCCAGTTTTCTATATTTCACTACAAAATTTGATCTTGCATTTAAGTTATGAATTCTGAAGCTCTGCTCCCTGTCACTCCTCAGTTGGTTCTTTTCATGAGAGATAACTAGCATCAAGTTCCGGACAAGAGATAACTTACAGTGGGCCTGGTCCAGCTCCTTTGCTCCTCCCTCCCTCCCTTCCTCCCTCCCTCTCTCTCTTCCTTCCCTCCTCTCTTTCGTAATCTGCTTACTCACTTTTGATGAAAATAGACTTAAAATGACTTTTTAAAAGAGAGAGAAGCTGGACATAATGGCACACAACTATAATCCCATCTCTTTGGAGGTTGAAGTAGGCCAGCTTGGATAATTTAGTGAAGTACCTCATTCAGTTTCCACCTCCCAATCCCAGCCAAAGCAAGCAAGAGCAGTAAATTGTGGTAAACTCTTTGAGGAAAAAAAAAAAACACATGGGACCATCAGCATTACAACTCTTTTTTAAGGCTGTGGATAAAATTCTGGGCCTTGTCTGCACTAGGCAAAGGCTCTACCACTGAACTCCAGCTCCACTCCAGACCAGTACATTTCTTGAGTACGTAATATAAGAAACAATGTTTTCTTTCTGCCCTCCCCGTTTTTATGTTTGTTTGTTTGTTTGCTTGAGACAAGGCTTTTCTCTGTAGTCTTGCCTGCCCCAGAACTCAAATATCCATTTGCCTCTGTCTCCTGAGTGCTGGGATAAAAGGTGTAAACTACCATATTCGGCAGGAACAATGTTTTCTAAACATAATTCTAAAAACAGTTCTGCATAGAAGAAATCATCAGTACCCCCATTCTATAAATGAGTTAACTCAAACTAAAGAGGCAAGGTTATATAATTAGTAAATGACAAGTTATCATTCCAACCCCAGTCTGTATGAGTCACAGTCTTTTTATTAACCCAGGCTGCTTCTTGTTAGACTAAATAAACTCTTTGGTTTTTAAGCAACTTATGAATAAGGACAAAATATACTTCCTTCTGGAGAACCTAACTGACATGGTAACTCTGTCTTCAAGAGGCTATTCCATTGTTCTGACAAGCTAGCTGCTACAGGATGGTGGGGAACATGGTTAGACTAGTGGATTCCGTGAGCACAGGTTCACTGTCACACTTTGTGTGACACTTCTTTGGCTGTGAAGTGAGTTCCTTGGCAAATGCAATGCTATGTGGTATACCACAACGGAGGATAAGGCATTGTCTTAAGTCCACAGATAACAGTTTTGGCAGAAGCATTATGTGCAGGAATGGAAAATCCATAACCAGAGTGAATAATCCCAATGAGTACAAAACTTTGCCCTTTTCATGAAGGAAGGTTCAAAGTAGTCAATCTACCAATAGGTTGCTGGCTGGTCACCAGGGGAATGGTGCTGTATGGGGGCTCAGTGTTGGTTTCTGCTGTTGACAGATCTGGCACTCAGCAGCAGCAGCTGTAGCCTGGTCAGCCTTGAGTGAAGGGCTCTATTACTCCAGTACATTCATAACCTCCATCTCTGCCACTGTGGCCACTTTATTCATGTATATACTGGGCAAAGTCAGGAATGGCTGGAAAAAAGAGGCTAACTGTCCATAGAATAGAACATCCTATCTGTTTGATTACTGACTTTTTTCTTAGCCAAAGTCATCTTTTGATGAGCATTTACCCTCAAGATACAAATATCTTCAAATCCTTTACTCATTTGGAAAAATTACCCCACATACTTCTTCTCCAAATGTCTTTCTGGCCAATTTTTTCAATCACAATCTTTCCAAGTCTTTGGAAAAAAATAAATAAAAGTACTTTTAAAAAGACAAAGCTTAAGGTCAGGAGAGGTAACTCAGAGGTTAAAAGCTCATACTGTTCTTGCAGAGGACTCAGATTTGGTTCCCAGCACTCATATTAGATGGTTTACAACCTGTAACTATAGCTCCAGGGGATCCAGTGGTGTTCTTCTGGGTTCTATGGACACATGCACATACCAACCCCCTGCCCAACACATACACAGTGTGTTGTTTTTTTTAATGCATTTTAAAATCTATTTTAAAAAACAGATTTAAATTCTAAATCTATTACCTTACCAGACATTAAAATGTAAAATCTTAAAAATTAAGAATTTAAGTCAGTATTCTTAATAAGTTTTACAGGTCGAGTAAAGAAATGGTTAACTAAGGACTACCAAATATCTGTCCTCAAGACTGCAGAAATAAAAACAATGAAGGTGGTAGATACTTACACTTGGTCCTTGGGCTTCCTGCAGCCATTTGAGAAGATGGGTCAAAGAGAAAGTTTTAAAATAATTAAATAAACTCAACTCAGAACATATTATTTAAGCACAACAGTTAAATCTGAATACAACACTCAACCTAGTTATTTCAAAGGCTGTTTAGAAGTCCTCAGATTTTTCAATTTAGTTATTTTCTTCTAATTTACTGAGATATAACCACAAGCCAAATAATTCACACTTTTGAAATTTATAAATTGAAATACTCAGTATACTTACAAGGTTATAAAATCTTTAGATTTAAAATAAAATTTATTGATATATTTTTTTTCAAGACAGGTATTCTTTGTGTAGCCCTGGCTGTCCAGGAACTCACTCTGTAGACCAGGCTGGCCTTAAATTCAGAGATCCATCTGCTCCTGCCTCCCAAGTGCTGGAATTAAAAGTGTGTACCATTACTGCCCAGCTTATTGATACTATTTGTGTAAATGTTTATTTCAGAAATCTAGTAAATATAGAAAAGCATTCAAAACTACTTTATCTACAGACATTGATGCTAACATTTAAACAATTATTTCCAGTAGTTTTCCTTATACGTCGTTTTCTTCTTGTTGTTGTTGTTTGCTTTTCCATCCCACATGGTTTGGGTTTGTTTTCTGTCTTGCTTTTGGTATCAGGGATTTACCCAGAACCTTGTGCATTTGTTCTACAACTGAGAGAACATGGTTTAATGTCCTGCTTTTACATCATAAATATTTTATTTTAGTCTTTTGTTTCCTTTTTTTTGTTTTTTTCGAGACAGGGTTTCTCTGTATATTAGACCTGGCTGTCCTGGAATTCACTCTGTAAACCAGGCTGGCATGGAACTCACCGAGATCTGCCTGCCTCGGCCTCCTAAGTGCTGGGATTAAAGGTGTGGTCCACCACTGCCTGGCACATCAAAAATACTTTCACCTACAACTCTAAACTTTCATTTAAACTTAATATAAGCTGTACTGAATATTTAATATTCTGTATAACCTAAGAAATTATTTCCACTTAAAAGTGACAAGGCATACAAAAAAGGTAAGTGGCAGGTCTGAGGCCACAATAGCAGAAGCAATAAACAATACAATCAATAGTATGCACTCCAGTATTATGAACCAGGTTACTCAGTAGCTTTTCTCTGGTGCATATGTATTTCTATTGTCTATATAAGTAAAAATACATAAGGACACTTTCTATGTGTAGTTTTTTTCTTTTGTTTTGTACAGTGTCCTTAGAATAAACCTGTCAGACTGAAAAAAAAAATCTGTCAAGAGATCTCAGAGTTTATTTTTCCTTTATTTTCTCCTTTGTGGTACGCAAAGGGATTGAATCCAGGAGCTCATATACTAGGCCACTCTATCACCAAGCCACACACCTTTGCCTAGATGTGAGATTACTCTCCTCTCTCTCTCTCTCTCTCTCTCTCTCTCTCTCTCTCTCTCTCTCTCTCTCTCTCTCGTGTGTGTGTGTGTGTGTGTGTGTGTGTGTGTGTTGGTTCATCTGGAGACCAGAGGTTGACACTAGCAAACAATGTCACCTCGGCCAATGAGTTCCTGTAATCCATTTGTTTCTATCTCCCTAGTATTGGGGTTATGGATGACTGCTAATGTCTTACTCTTTTATATGAGTTCAGGGGATCTGAATCAGGTCTCAGTGTTTATGTGCAGGCACATTGCTGATTGAAGTATCTCCCCAAGAAGATGTGAGATGTTTTAAGATTCCTAAAACATACATTAAAATTGCTTTTGTATTTAGCCAAACTGATTTTTAGTCATTTGTAGTAAGTTCCCATTTTACAGTAGCTTTCCTAATATTGTATTATTATTTAAGAAACACTAGTAATTATTGAACTTTATATTTCTTTTATTACTAGAAATGTTTCATCAGTTTATTTTATTCTTCTATGAATAGTCTGATGTCATCTTGAAACTAAAGTATTGTTCTAGACCTCACCTTTACTATAAATACATTTGAAAAATAAACATTTTTAATAGCAAATATTTGACTTATTAAGTCCAGCATAAGAACCTCAATAAATAGAAGTAAATTTATCATTATTATAAATAGGATTAAACTAGTATGTTAGTCTCACTATGAAGCCTAAGCTGATTCCAACTCACAACTTTCCTGCTTCAGTCTCCTGAGCACCTGGTATTATAGGAATGTTTCACCATATATGATATATCTTTACTTCCTTTTTTGAGACAGAGTAGTTCTTGCTGTCTTGGAATTTGCTATGTAGACGTGGTTAAACTCAAAGTCAAAGATAGGCCTGCCTTTGCCTCCCAAGTGCTTGGATTAAAGGTATGCACCACCACATCTGGCCTTTATGTGTGTTTTTGTTTTGTTTTGTTTTGTTTTTTGGGGGGTAGGATTGTTTTGTAGCTCAGGCTGGCCTCAAAGTCACTATATATTAAAAGCAGGCCTTGAACTCCTGATCTTTCTATTGCTACTTTTCATTACATTTCTTTGTAAAAGGCATACAATAATCTTTCATTCTTGCTTTTTAAATATTTTTTGAACTGATAACTATATTTAACTAGTTTTGAAAAGTTAGTTACCACTGGGGTTGGAGAGATGGCTCAGCAGTGGAGAGCACTGGATGTTCGTCTAGGATACTTGGGTTCAATTCCCAATATCACATAGCAGCTCACAACTGTAATATCAGTTCCAGGGGATCTGGCGCCCTCTTCTAGTCTCCACAAACACCAAGCAAGCAGATATACATGCAGGCAAAAAAAATCCATATATATAAAATTAAATAAATCTTTTTAAAAAGCACTACTGATAATTCTTTTGAAGAGTAAATATATAAATGATGAGATAAAAACCTTTTAAGTATATCAAAAGGATATAATAAGGATTTTCTAGCAACAACGAAGCCATTCGGGCCTCCTTAATCATAGGACGAGCCATGAGAGTTCTGCGCCTCCAGTAATGCTAAGGAAAGAGATGACACACTTAGAATACAATAGGCAAGTGCTAAGGATTTTCTGGGGTTGAAGTACTACAATGTCACAAGTCTTACATGGTCTCCTGTTCCAGCCAGATGAATGCACACAGGTCTGTATCTGCTGTTCCATTCCTTAGGCACAATAAATTGGAACCTATGAAAAAATTAAATTTTCTTTAAAGAGCTTTAGCTACAAACTATACATACATTTATAATTACCTTATTTGTGGAGAGGGTCTTGCCATTACTTGTGCTGTGATGACAGGTGTGACTCATCATGCCTAGCTCTAAACTTTAAATTTAAATTTAAAGTATTATTTAAAAGTATTATAATTTAAAAAGTATTATAATTAAATTCTGGCTCTTTCTCTAAAAGGATGGGCTAGTGGATTTACATCTACTTACTTATTTGTGTGTGTATATGTATGTGTGTAGGTGTGCCCTGACGCTTGTCAGAGGTCAGAGAAAAACAAGAGTTCTTTTCTTCTACCACGTGAGTCCTAGGAATTGAAATTTGTTTGTCAGCCATTTTGATGGCCTATAATTTAACTATCTGGAAGAAAATATTTAGAATTTTGACACTTAATTTATAACTATAAGTCCAAAAGCTACAAGAATATTATAAATCTACTTTCTTTTAGTAACAAAAAAAACATGAAATCAGGAAGAAGACTCAGGAAGTTATGGATTTGGTGGGGTGAGAAAGGGAATGAGAATATTAGGAGATAGAATGTTGCAAAGAATACTATGTTTATGAATAAAATTGTAAAAGGCTAAAATATTAACAATTTTTTAAAAAGGGAAATTACCTATGATAGCATAAATGGGGAGGAAACAAAAAATGGGCTGTAGCCATGACAAACTTTTAGCACATTCTGGACATGGACTAATTTAATGTGGTGTGGTATTATCATCAAACAAAACTAAATGACTGGAGATACAGCTAAGAAAGGAGATAAGCTAAGCTAAGCATGTGCTTAACATGTGCAAGGTTCTAGGTTCAATCCCAAGTACCACAAAAATTTAAAAACTGTATATTTACATACTAAATATACATATATGCACACACACATACACACACACTTAAAAAAATAAAGAAACTGAAGAGATGGCTTAGCAGTTAAGAGCACCTCCTGTTTTTCCAGAGTACCAGCAAGCATACACAGATTGGGCAGTAGATAGCTCACACACACCAGAACTCCAGCTCCAGGAGACCTGAAACCCCAACTGGCCTCCTTTGGTACCTACATTCACATGGCATACACTCACACAAACAAATACATAGACACATAAAAATTCTTTCTAAAAGGGAAGAAACAGAACAACTGATCTGAGGCTATAGCTTAGTAGTAGGGCATTTGCTTCCCTGGTATGTGCAAAGACCTGAGGTCCCACCTTTAATACTGTAAATGAATTATTTAAGAAAAGGAAAAGGATTGGGGGTGCAGGGGAGGGAGAGGGAATTGGGATTGACATGTAAAACAAGCCTGTTTCAAATTTAAATTTAAAAAAAGGAAAAAATAGAAAAGGAAAAGAAATCTAACAATTGGCATATGGGACCCAGGCTTCCTAACATGAGCTTTTATGTCTAGAATCAGATCTTCCTCATTCTTGCAATGGGTTAGGAACAGCTTTCCTGACTCAGCTACCTGTACTTAGTAAAAGTGAATTTACCAGGTGGCATTCAGAATCTTCAGCACTAAGAACTAAAAGTCAACATCAGTATACAGGAGAAATAAAACTTCACATACTGAAGAAACCCAAGTCAATCATATATATACTAAGCAACACAACCCTCCTTTAATATCACACATAGAGAAAAAAGGTGTGTGTGGAGTAGTAGAGGTGATCAATAATAATAATAATAATAATACACTGAAAAGTTGATAAGACAAATTAGAACAAAAGGATTTAAAAAACAAATAAAAAACACTAGGATTCTCTACATAGCTCTGGCTGTCCTGGAACTCACTACATAGATCAGGCTGGCCTTGAACTCAATGAGATACACTTGCCTCTGCCCCCAAGTACTGGGATTAAAGCATGCACCACCACAACCAGGCAACAAAAAGATTTTTAAAATTCCTTTATGATAGCTGTATGTACAGGTAGTTACAATTATTAAATTATATGATTGAAATGAGTAGCTTATGGTGATATATTATTTATGATTTATTAAAGTTTGCCTGAAGATTCAGAAAAGCAAAGTTAGACTCATGCTATAGAGAGCAGGCGATGGTGATACCTTTAATCCCAGCAACCAGAACTAGGAGGTGGTAGTACACCTGTAACCCTAGGACTCAGGATTAAGAGATAGACGGATCTCAGAGTTCAAGGCCACCCAGGTCTACACAAGATTAAATCAGTCTAAAAGAGAATTATAGCTCACACCTTTAATTTCAGCACTAGTGGGTTATAAAAGACAGGAGCAAGTAGTCAGGAGGAGCACTCATTCTCCAGCCATGCTGACGAGAGGTTACTGGGAAGGGAGGCTTGCTGAGAGCTGGTGGAAACAGGACTAGCCCATTCAGCCTGAGGTAGAGGTAAGAAGCTATTGGCCAGCTGCTTTGCTTTTCTAATATTCAGCTTGAAGTTTAATTAAACCCCAATATCAGTCTCTGGGTCTTTTACTTTTTTTGTTATATTTGGTGCCCAACATTAAAATACAAATTCATGAAAAAAGGTGCTTTGAGGCCACTTTGGGCCTAAGCCTGAGCAGCGGGCAGGACTCCCTCCTGAGTCCCTGCCTAACCAAATAGGTTTTCTTTCTTTCTTTTTTCTTTTTTTTTTTTTTTTCCTCAAGTCTTTGAGCAAGTGTGGGATTTTCAATTGTAGCTTTTCCAGTCTTCAGCTGCCACCCAAACTTTCAGGCTTTTCCTAGAACCTTTCTCCTCTTGGGCTGACACTCTCAGCTCAGCCACAAGCTAGTTCTCCCACTCAGAAGTGCTACACCTCATAGTTCATTAACATTATCGGCAGATTTGGTAATTCTTAAGGGAAAGGATTAATTAAAAAAAGAGTCCCCACACACACTAAAAAAAGGAAAACACTATTAAAATGAAGAGAATCAGATCTGTGTATGATTACCTACTGTATGGTGGTTTAAAAATGGAACATGAAGGGATAATCAACCATGGTTGACAAACTGTTAATTGTCATTTTGATAATTGTTTTTGTTTTGATAATTCTTAGTTTATCTCTAAAAATGTTGGTTGATATGAGTGCTGAGATGCAGGCCTTAGAAAAACAATACAGATTATAGAGATATTCAAACCCAGGAATTACATAGAAAACCAAAATCAGCATTGCATTTTAAGGTTAAAAAGGAACATTCTAAGGTCTTAAAAGAACCACCTTTAATGTATCTAATAACCTTACAAGAAGTGCCAAATGATGAAGATTCTATAAGAGCTACCTGGAAGCCTGTGACAGTGTTAGATTTAGGGAAATTCAAGGAAGCTATAGTCTCATATGGCATTCATTCACCATTTGTGAAGCAGATGATAAACACATGGACTGTTTGTAATAGGGTTATCCCTGTAGATTGGATAGATTTGATTAAAGCTGTCCTAGAGCCTGAACCACAATTACAATGGACTTTCTAGTTCAGAGAAGAAGCTAAGAATATTGAACAAAAGGCTAAAGCTAGAGATATAGATCTCTCCCAAGGTTAGATTTTTGGAGGAGATTACACTACTTTAGAAAGCCATTGTCAGTATGATGATCATCTTGTGGGTTTATGCCATGCAGCGACTTTGAATACCTGGGAAAAAATTGGAGAAGGAGGAAAGAAAACTGAATCATTTGCAAAAATTATACAGGGCCCAAAGGAAACATTCATGAACTTATTTTACTTTTATTATTATTGTTTTTTTTCATGGACTTCTTACAAAGACTGTCATTAGCAGTCAGTTGAATGACATCACACTCAGATGCTAGAAAAACAGTAATTGAAATAATGTCTTTCGAAAATGCTAATGCACAACGTAAATAGATAATCAGGCCTTTAAAAGCAAAATCAGCACCTTTAGACGATTAGATCCAAGACACAATTAATATTGAAGATCATGGCTATAATGATGATTCAGGAATAGGAGAGGTGATTGCAAAAGGTTTAAAGGGAAAATGAAATGTCAAATGTTTTAATTGTGGCAGACAAGGTAACCTGAAAAGGGATTGTAAACAGACCATTTCTAGAAACAATCCTTTTTATAAAAATAATCCAAATACAATACCACTCCCTTCTGGATTATGCAAAAGGTGTGGCAAAGGCAGGTACACATTCAGGGGGCCTAGTTTGGTCTTATTCGGGTTCCCCAGTTATCTGTCTGGAGTCAGTGAGCTTCCACTGGACTTCAGGAGTTTGGCCCAGTGCTTAGCTGTAGATCTCTGCATCTCCTTTCATCAGTTACTGGGTGAAGGCTCTATGAAGTCAATTAATGTAGTCATCAATCTGATTATGGGGGAAGGGCAGTTAAGGTACTGACTTGAGATTTTTATTTTATGTGTATGAGTATTTACCCACATGTATGTCTGAGCACCAAATGCATACAGTACTATGAAGATCAGAAGAGTACATCAGATCCTTTGGGAGTGGAGTTACTGATAGTTTCAAGTAGCCATGTTAGTGATGGAAACCTGGGTCCTGTGCAAGAGCAGTCAGTACTCTTTACCACTGATCCATCGCTCCAGCCCCAGAATCACACAAATTTAAAAAATTATATTCATTTTATGTGCATGAGGGTTTGGCCTGCATTAATGTCTTACAGTAGGTTCATGCAATACCTGCAGAGGCTAGAAGAGAACATTGGATCTGAGGGTTACAGAACTGGAGTTATAGATGGTTGTGAGCCACTATGTGGGTGTTGGCCTGTTTCCTCTGAAAGAACAGCCATTGCTCAATTGCTAAGCCATCTCTACAGTCCCATCATCAAAGACTTTTAAAGATGAAATTTTATTAATTGTGTGTATGTGTGCACACATGTGAAAGTCTCTCCTTCTACCATTTGGGTCCTAGGAATTAGTCAAGTGTCTTTACCCTCTAAACTATCTCACTACCCCTTAATAAAAATATGAAAGGCAAATTCTCTTTACTCAGGGATGAGCAGAGCTAGCACATGACTAAAATCCCTTGGAAATGTTTCTGTGTGACTATGTGCATGTCTAGAGTTTTATGAAAATGGTGATGACTTAAGTGTCACACAGTGTGGCCTCATTTCTATATCAGTATGCATGAGATGGTAACTAATTTCCTAGTGTGGTCATTTAGGACATCATCCACACTCTGTTAGCACAGCAGCACTTGTATGTGTTTAAGCTCATCTGGACACATGCTGCTAGACTCAACTCACTAATCTGGCTTACTGAACAGATTCTTACCTTGCAATAACAGATTCAATTGGCATGATACCAGGCACATAGTGGGCCATGGGAGAAACAAAGTGTCCATCTAGGATCTTACAATCTGACTGTTCTTCAACCTAAAAGAAAAGAAAACCAAGGTGTATGCAAAGTAGACTAAGGTATCAGTCTATCACGGACTTTTTGATAATAAAAAGTTCTATTCAATGAAAAACTAACATTATCAGTTCTTGCACTTGAGCCTCATTTTAATCAATAAGAACTGAGCTATAAACTGGCACCAAAACTTTTTCCCATGCTTACTATGTTTCTTTTTAGACCCATTGTTTTTTCCACCAAAAGATATATTTTGGTTTGATATTCTTTTTTTCCCCTTCTTCCTTCCTTTCTTCTTTTTTCCCTCCCTCAGTCTTTTGCAACAGGGTTTCTCTGTGTATCCTTGGCTAGCCTGGAATTCATTCTGTAGACCAGGCTGGCCTCGAACTCATAGATATTTCCCTGCCTCTGCCCTGCAAATGCTGGGATTAAAAACGTGTGCCACACCACCCAGCAAAAAAAAAAAAAAAAAAAAAAAAAAAAAAGATATTTTTATTCAAGGCTATTTATTGTTTCATATTTATTTAAAGAATAGCATATAACTGATATCTTCTGAAGTATTTCGTACCTGTCTTTCAAACTCCTCCATTTATATTTATCCAACAGGTAATTGTCCATCATGCATTTTTAAAGACAGCTTCTACTTATACATACTTGTTTTCCTTCTACTCTACAGTCTAGTTGGGAAATAATAAATTTAATTCACACACCGGCAGGCAATGTCTCAAAATAAACAAGTTAAAGGAATTCAGTACCATTCAATAGGGCTAGGAGTACAGTTTAGTACAGAGTGCATGTGGCTATCAGAGATATTCTAGGTTCAATTCTAGGTACCACAAAATCAGAAACAATCAAAAGCACTCAACAATATAAAAGCATTCAAAAGTACAATTTAGACGGAGCAATAATTGGTGTAGTCTATGCTGATATCAAGTATCAGAGTGGTCTGATGTCACACTACCTGCTAGTACATTATGTAAGGAGAAAAGGGGATTTCTATATGAAGTAAAGGCAATTTAAAGGCAGCAAAGATTAAAAAAAAGAAAATGCTTAAAATCACTACGGTTTTCAAGCTGAGGCAGGAGTCTCACAAATTCAAAGCTAGCTTGGATTATATAGCAAGACCCTGTCTCAAAATTTTCAAACAAAAGAGGCAATCTTGCTATAATCTTACTTCACAAGAAGTTATTCTTTAAAATAAGGAAAATAAAAATAAAAATCCTATCAGGTCAAAGGTTAAAATTAAAGTAGCAGGAAAGTATCACATAAACAACATTTTAAAAAATACTTCATCCATGTTAGTGGCTTCAATTCTTCAAATCCAGGATTGTGACTGTGAACTAACACTAGCAAATGGGTTTTCCTTCACACAACAGGCACTCTACCAATGAACTACCATTAAAAAAGCAAAAACAAGATGGGTTTTTGGGAACATGCCTTTAAATCCCAGCACTCAGGTGGATGTCTGAGTGCTTAGTCTGCAGAGTGAGTTCCAGGACAGCTAGGGCTACACAGAGAAGCCCTGTCTCAAAATAATAAAACAAAACACACACACAAAAGAAAACAAAACAAACCACAAAATACAGACAGTTGAGGAAATATCTATTTAACAATCGAAAATTAAAAAAAAAAGTTAAAAATGCTTAACCACTCATTCTGTTACCAAGACTTGATTATCAGATTCTAATCAGCCTATATTTTTACACCAGTAGAATATTATGTCAGTAGGTTCAGGTTTACAACACCCACTTTTTCCCCCTCCCTCTCCCTTCCTCCCTCCCTCCCTCCCTCTTACCCTCTCTGCCTCCTCACATGCACCCTGACCACTATCTCCTCCCATCCCCCCACCCCAATTCCACATGTGGGGCAATGCCATCCAGGTGGGGTCACATAGATCTGTCAGGTCATTTGAAGTAGGGACTAGGACTTCTCTCCTGTCTCTAGGTTAAGGCAGTATCCCTTTATGGGGGATGTGTTTGCAAGTTCCTTTTGTGCACCAGGAATACATCCTGGTTCCACTGCCTGAGGTCCCTTAGACTGCTCAGTCCTTCTGGCTGAGACCCATATTCAGGGGGGCCTGAGTCAGTCCCATGCTGGATTCCCAGCTATCAGTCTGGTGGTCTGTTAGCTCCTCCTTGTTCAGGTCGGCTGTCTCTATGTGTTTCTGCAACTTGGTCTTGTCCTCTCCCTCTGCATCTGGATTCTAGTTCGACTCAGTGTTTAGGTATGGGTGTTTGCTTCTGTTTCCAACAGGTATTAGATGAGGGCTCCATGGATAAGTTAGTTGTTGATCTCACTATCCGGGAAGGGCATTTATGGTAGCCTTTCCACGGTTGCTCAAATTGTTAGTTGGCGGCAGTCTTGTAGGTCTCTAGACCTTTCTTTAGGTTCAGTTTTCTCTTCAAACCAATAATGGCTCCCTCTTTTATGCTCCCCCCCTCCTGTCTTCTATTCCTACCCTGACTCAATCTTCCTAGTTGCACGTGCTTTCCTCTCCTCCCCTACTCTTTCTCCTAATTCTCTCTCCATTCACTGCCCCCCCCCACTTTCCCAGTGCTCTGGGGGACTTGTCCCTTCCCCCTCCTGTGAGGGACTTTATATGAATCTCTTAGGATACACCTTGTATCCTAGTTCCTCTGGTGGTGTGAATTATAGGCTGGTGATCCTTTGCTCTAGGTCTAAAATTCATGTATGAGTGAGTACATACTGTGTTCCTCTTTTTGTGACTGGGTTACCTCATTCAGGATGCTTTCTTCAAGTGCCATCCACTTGCCTGTGAATTTCAAGATACCATTATTTTTTTCTGCAGAGTAGTATTCCATTGTGTAGATGTGCCACATCTTCATTATCCATTCTTCAGTTGAGGGGCATCTAGGTTGCTTCCAGGTTCTTGCTATTACAAATAGTGCTATTACAACTATGAACATAGTTGAACAGATGTCTTTGTTGCATGGATGTGGATCATTTGGGTATATGCCTAAGAGGGGGATTGCCGGGTCCTGTGGTAAACTAATTCCCATTTCTGGAGGAACCGCCATACTGATCTCCAAAATGGCTGTACAAGTTTGCACTCCCACCAGCAGTGGAGGAGTGTTCCCCTTTCTCCACATCCTCTCCAGCATGAGTCATCATTGGTGTTTCTAATTTTAGCCATTCTGGCAGGAGTAAGATGGTATCTCAAAGTTGTTTTGATTTGCATTTCCCTGATAGCTAAGGATGTTGAGCACTTTCTTAAGTGTCTTTCAGCCTTTTTGATTTCCTCTATTGAGGATTCTTTCTTCAGTTCCATACCCCATTTTTTAATAGGGTTATTTGGTGTTTTGTTGACTAGTTTCTTGAGTTCTTTGTATATTTTGGAAATCAGCCCTTTGTAGGATGTAGGATTGGTGAAAATCTTTTCACGGTCTGTGGGCTGCCGTTTGGTCTTGTCCACTGTGTCCTTTGCCTTACAGAAGCTTCTAAGTTTGAAGAGGTCCCATTTATTAATTGTCGCTCTCAGTGTCTGTGCCCCTGGAGTTATGTTCAGAAAGCGGTCTCCTATACCAATTTGTTCAAGGGTACCTCCTACTTTCTCTTCTAAGAGGTTCAGTGTGGCTGGATTGATGTTGAGGTCTTTGATCCATTTGGACTTCAGTTTTGTTTGTGCATGGCGACAGATATGGGTCTATCTGCAGTCTTCTACACACCATCATCCAATTGTGCCAGCACTATTTGTTGAAGATGCTGTCCTTGCTCCATTGTATTCTTTTAGCTGTTGTCGAAAATCAGGTGTTCATAGGTGTGTGGGTTAATATCAGGATTTTCAATTTGATTCCATTGGTCTACCTGTCTATTTTTCTGCCAATACCAGGCTGTTTTTAGAACTATATCTCTGTAGTAGAGCTTAATGTCAGGGATGGTGATGCCTCGTGGAGTTCTTTTATCGTACAGGGTTGTTTTGGCTATCCTGGGTCTTTTGTTTTTCCATATAAAGTTGATTATTATCCTTTCAAGGTCAGTGAAGAATTGTGGTGGGACTTTAATGAGGATTGCATTGAATCTGTAGATTGCTTTTGGCAAGATTGCCATTTTTACTATGTTTATCCTACCTATCCAAGAGCATGGGAGATCTTTCCATTTTCTGGTATCTTCTTTAATTTCTTTCTTTAGTGCCACAAAGTTCTTATTATATAGGTCTTTCACTTGTTTGGTAAGTGTTATTCCAAGATACTTTGTGCAACACCCATTTATTTATGTGACATTAATCTCTTTGTCATCCTTCCTTTACTCTATAGAGTATTCCTATACTCTATATGTGACTGTACCATATTTTCCCAAAATAGAGGATGGTTTTAAAGTTATATACTATGTAACTCAGAGTTGCCCTGCACTCACTGTATAATCAAGGATGCCTTTCAACTTCTGATCCTCTACCTCTACTTGCCAAGTGCTAGAATTACAGGTGTGTGTCACCACAACAGTTTTATACAGTGCTGGGTATCAAACCCCAGACTTTGTGTAAGCCAGGCAAACATCCTATCCATAGATCTATCCATCAGCTCCCCAAATTCTATACTGATTAACTGATTAAAAAAACACTCAAGGAAAAATAAGGCACTTAAGAAATTGCTCAACATCCTTACCCATCAGGGAAATGCAAGCCAAAAAAACTCTGAGATACCATCTTACATCTGCCAGAATTACTAAAATCAAAAACACTAAAAACAGTTTATGCTGGAGAGGATGTGGAGAATGGGGCACACTCCTCCACTGCTGGTGGGAGTGCAAACTCATACAGCCACTTTGGTAATCAGTAAGGCAGTTCCTCAGGAAAATGGGAATCAGTCTACCTCAAAATCCAGTAATTCTACTCTTAGGCATATCCCCAAAAGATGCACATTTGATGGGAGATGTCATTCTGTGAATATGTTTCTCATACTGGTTAATGAATAAAGCACTGTTGGCCAATAGGAAAGGAAGATAGGAGGGCCTAGGAGACAAGAAGAAAAGAGGAAGTAGTAGGGAGGAGTCAGCATGTAGACTG